AACCCAGGCCAAGCCTCTCATCGAGTCCACCAGAGGAGTCTAACCAGCCCCGCCGACGGGTACACAAGGTGAGCCCTCAGCAACCCCACGGTTATCGGAGTACTCCCTCCGTTAGTCGACAGTCCAGGGCACTGTGTGTTCGAGCAACGTGATTTTGCGAACCCCTCTCCACCACAAATTATTCGTCTACATCTGCAAAAGCCCTCCTCCTATGACAATATGGCGTGCAACGCAGTCTAGAATCCAGGAGCAACTTCCTCTGGTAGTCGATTTTTTACGCAGCAGAAAAGTATCCGCTGGGCCAGCGACGACGCTGTACATGGCTACAACTCAAGCAAGACACCCCTCTGATGTGCCCCTGGAAGTGCCAACAAGTTCGACGTTCCAACAACTTCAGTACGTTGATAAACTACAAAGGATTTTTGATGAGAGCGCAGCGACCGCTGTAGAAATGCACAGCGAGGCATATCCGACAATTTGGATCGTGTTACACAAAGTTGAAGCTCCTATTCCCGTCAATATTGGTGACCTACGTCGAATTTTAGGACTTCCAGACTGGAATCTACGTCTGCCATTTCGACAACCCAACCGCGAGCCTGTCGGATCCCCTCTGTCCGAAAGTGCGGATATCGAGGATGAAGAACATAAGAACGAGGAGGGCCTTCTATTTGAAAGTTAGCTTTTATCAAAACCTTCTATCTGAAAGCTATCTTTTATCTTCTGTTTGAAAGTTAACCTTTTATCACTATACCTACAGTGTCTATAAAGATTTATTCGTATGCTCATAGCTACGCGGAGTACTGCCACGGGGTTCTCTCTAAACGCCATGTTCGCGTGCTTTTGAATCCGTCGCTTTAAAAGAGAAAATTGCACCTCAATTGGAGAGTACGGCGGTAGAAAAAAGCAGAGCCACTGTCGATTGCACTAGATCTTCTATTTCACGGTACTTATGAATGCGAGCATTATCCAAAATCAAAATTGAACGCGGAAGTGGTCATGGGTTTAGGAAAGGTAAAATCTTAGAGTGCAAAATTTCGTGAAAAGTTTTTCATGTGAAAGTTCCTTCAACTTGCCCCCAAGCAAAAAAAAAGCGGTTACATCAGTTGCAGCAAGCAAGGATACACTTTTACCGCGCGAAAAAGGTAGCGATACCATTGCAGGCTGTCCGCGAGGTGACCACGCGTATTGACGCAGCATAGACCGACCGTCCTTAGTGGTCTCGTCAGCAAAAACAAGCTGATCTGGGCACGAATAGAATGGGCCGAGTCGTTTAAGGTATTGGTTTCGCTCTGACGGAACACTTTCACGTGCGCGCTTGGTCAGTTCCTTTCGAGAAAAATCCAAATCCAAGCGCAGCGCTCGACACACGGTCGAGTCTGAAATATTGCCGAGGTCGGGGAATCACTCTTTAATTGCAGACTTAGTAGAAACAAGGGTGAACTTTGACGTAGTCATCAATAGATATAAGCACTATCGAGATGAGGGCTGCTTTTCGCGAATCTTCGCATCCACGTTCCCAGTTCTCTGAAAATGCTGTAGCCATCTGCTCAGTGTACGCTGTGCGACACCCAAAAACACGACTGATATCATGTCAACAGGAACGTCATACGCGTACAAAAGAATCACTGATCTTCACCTTAAGTCTTGCGAATATGTCATTGTTGGTGCGAAAACTCCGAATGGCGGTGATTTTGCTGCCATTCGGGCTTTTTCGTCTTCTACGGGTTTGAGTTCTGAGCTATCTTGCCTCTAATCTGAGTTTTATTATTAGCACTGCCATCACAAAGCTGGATCTGATGACCTAATCCATCATGTCTTAATCTAAGTTCAACAAGTCGATGTTGCTAAAAAGACTGAAAGGCACAATAGCCACTTGTGTATAACCCCGTTACAGACAAGAATCGTGCTTCCCAGATACGTCGCAGACTGGAATACAAAGTGGTTTCTGAAGTGCTGCAGCTGCTCGCTAGTGAAGTGGCGCCAGGCTACTACGGAAGCTCAACCGGGATTATCCTGGATGACGACAAGGACAACTCAGTATGGACACCTCCAAGGCTGAACTACCTTGCTGAGAATCAAGATGGCGATCTATCGATGACGGACAACGAGAAGGATCTGTTGGGTGTGGCTTCGTGCTGTATCTCAAGATGACAGCATTCTGAGAGACGAGAAGCCTACGGGGGTCGTCTGAAATTGTGCCTGCACCAAAGCACCAAAGCACCCGCAACCACAGCATTCGCTGCCGCCGTCGTTAGTAGTGGGTCATGGAACATTACGCCGGCAGTTTTTTTTACTTTCCGTAATTTACCTGCGAGACCAGTCCTGGAACGTTCTTTCGAGGCAGCTGCTATTTTGACGACGCAACCTCTCGACCACCTGTGAGCGAAAGCAACGTCTTTTCGATCTTAGGGTAGTTTCAGAACCGCTCAACCGGTGAGATCTAACAGACGTTGATCCACATTATAGTGAGAGCCACGTCTTTTGGATCCTAGGGCGCATCGGGACGGACAACATTCAAACTACATGTATATTGATAAAAGCAATACGCTGGCAGATTTTTACCTCAAGGATTAGTTGGGACAAGCGCGACGTGGCGTCTCATCATTGGTTGAATATCTATATCACACGCCTTCTTTTCCGCTTAAGTACGCCAGAAATTCTCCCTCCCTTCTTCCTCATTCCAGAATGTGCCGGCTCGAGGAACGATGGTCCTATTAAACTGCGCGCTGGTTGGAGTTGGGAGCGTGATATCTATTATCATTGAAGAATGGAAGACGGTGGCTCTCCTGAAGGATGCGATCAAGGCGAAGAAGCCAGACACGATCAAGGGAGAAGCAGACAACCTGCAGCTCTCTCTGGCGAAGAAGGGCGAAGGATGGCTACCAATTGAGGACCTTGCTGCGATAGAAGACGGAGTAGCGGTGCCGGGTTTTGAAAAGGTGTCATTGGTGGATACAAAGCGTGTGAAGTACTCGGCCTATTCGATTCAGAAAGTGTTGCAGATGAAAGGATTGCCCTCACCTCAAACGGAGCAAATTCACGTGCTGGTGGTGGTTCCGGAGCAAACACAAGGACAACCACGATTGTGGCTCGTTACTGGGTCCGTCGATAACGCGTTGAACACGAAAGGGATTCGCTGCAGACTGTACTGGATGGCGACGTTACGCATTGGGTACTACGATCCTGTGCGCCGCACCCCGGATAAGAATGTCGCGTTTTGGTACGAAGGCAAGAAGTTGTGCTTCCATGTACTGTTCAAAACAGGTGCGTGCTTTTATATATCGTCATTGCATCGTAGTGGCGGACTAACTCTTTTTTCGTTTGCAGAAGATGCTGCTTTGCTATTCGAAACTGACCTGAGAACTGGCCCGCAAACGTTGGGCTCTCCATTGTATGACCAAGTAGTTGAGACGCGCGTTGCCCAAATTAATGCTGTGTCTGCTGAGCTTCAGCGCGTCTTCTACGCTGACTATGTTCCAGAAGAGTCCGAGTCTCAACAAAACACAATTTCATCCGTATCATTGACTACAAGCGTTTCTAATTTGGACACCTCGACTGATGAGTTCGAATATCAGCGAATCGAGCGCAAAAATCACTTCGTTCCGTACGGCAAGGCAGAAAGCTGTCATTTGGTGTCAAGAAAGCAAAGCAGAGACCACAAACGAGAATTTGCCAAGTACGATCGCGATCCAAACAATCGGCTTGCTCTTTCTCGCGACATGCATGGTTGGTACGACGGTATGAGCATCGAGTTTCCCATCGTCAACATGCTCCCCGGATCCGTTGACAAGAATTCATCTATTGGCAACAGACGCAAGGTACATAAGATGTGCAGAGGTTTGTGAATGCAATTATCCTGACGTTTACGTGTGTAGGTGGAGGTGTTCGTGAAGGTTGTAGATGCACAGTGCACAGATCGTGTTTTCAGTCGTTTGAAAGAAGGATCAACCAAGACCGACGATCCGCTCGTGATGAAGACGTTTGTTCACGTGGAGGATCCAGAAACGTTTTGTTTCTGTATGAGGTGGAAGTATGATGACAACGATAAGCGCCAGAGAAGCTTCTTTGATATGACTCCGGCGGTCGATTGAATACAAATAATAAGTTTGAGGTTCCAGGTTTGTCAAAAAAATTAGTTTTGATCCTGATAATATAAAGTTAGTAATATACAAAAAATGGCGTACTCACCTCAGCAATACCTCGCTAACAAAGAGCGCATTAAGGCTGCGCAGAAGCGCTACTATCAGCGCACACGTGAAACTCGAGAGGCCTTTTATTCGGGCAAGTACGTTAGGTCATGATTGTCAGGGCCAGAGTAATCATTTGGTCTGTAAACAAATGCCATGGGTCTGGAAACGCTTTGAATGGATCACCGTACTGTATCTTGATTGTATTATCTGGCAGTATCACATATCCAGCACCACCAAGCAAAAAACTCAAATTCCATACGTCAGTTCGCAACTTACTTCCTATTGTGCTCTGTTCAATCAATGCATCTCAAACCTGGCTTCACAACGCCTTCGGGCTGCATGGTGCTGCTGTCCATCCTTGCCCTGCTGGCATGTGGCTCAGAGTTGGTTACGGCGTCATTAACGCCATCAACAGTTGAAGTTCGCAGAGATGAAGACTGGAGCGGCAATGTGGATAATCAAACCTACCTGAGGAACCACAAACAGAGATCGCTTGATCAAGACGATGGCGGTTTTGAGGAGAGAAACGGGTGCAACACTTCCCGGGGTGAAAGGTTTGGCTATCTCGCAGAAGCTGAAGAATATTGCAACAAGCATCAAAGAAAAATTCTCATCCAACAATCAAAAAGCAACCGACAAACTTTTCGCTCGTCTAAAGGTCGGGAACGTCCAGGAAAGTCTTTTTGTGAGTGCACCGTATAAAAAGTGGACAGCGTCTGTGGCCAAAGCTTACAAGACGAATCCTAAAGCTGGTCGTGCAGCTGTGTTTTCTACGCTGGCAGCTCGTTACGATGATGAAGCTCTGGCCAAACTTTTAGTTGAAGCAAAGCAAGTCCGTGCAACGAGAGAGCCTGCCAGTGAATTTCAAGCCATGCAGATCGACAGCTGGGCTGCTAAGCAGAAAACGACGGATGATATATACAGTGCTTTGAAGCTGGAAGTGAACGAGAAGGATCTTCTGAAGAATCCATTGTTGGACACGTGGATCTCCTACATTCCAAAAGCGGCAAGTGAAAATCCGTACAATTTGGTGTTGCGCAAGCTTATGAACCACTATGATGACCAAGGACTGGCACAAATGCTAATTGCAGCTAAGGAAGATAGCCGTGTGGCAAGCATTGCAACAAAGGTGGAGGAGTCGTTACTAAAACGGTGGCAGAGTGATGGAAAGACGGCAGACGATGTCTTCAGGCTGCTACGGCTTAACGACGACAAAAGTGACTATATTATGAAGAACCCAGTGCTGAGTACATGGATCAGTTACGTCGACCAGCTTCACGAGAAAAACCCGTATGATGAACTGGTGCTCATGTTGACTAAAAGTTATGGTGAAGGTGGGCTTGCCGACATACTTGTTGCAACAAGAACAGATTTCACTACTCGAAGCATGGCTATTGACTTCGAGAATGCACTGATAAAAAAATGGTCGATGGAAGCAAAAACGATAGATGATGCATTTAACCTCTTAAGGCTTCGCAGTGACAATGTGGAAGAAACGCTGAGGAATCCAGCTCTGATCACGTGGATTTCGTACGTAAAAAAGAGTAACAAAGACCCGTACGAATTGCTCTTTCGACAACTGGATTTGCGGGCAGGCGACGCACATCTAGCGAAGATGCTTGCCTTAGGAGCGAAAAGCAACAAATTCGTGATTGAAGTTTCTGAACTGCAAGCGCTGCAATACAGCAAGTGGCTCAGCAAGAAATTATCAGCAGATTACATGTTCAACCTTCTCCAACTAAAGAAGAACGGCGATAAACTCTTTGACAGTCCCGTGCTTAGTACATGGAGCTCCTACGTGGCGAAAAAGAATCCGGGGAGGGAAGATGAGACGATGTTTTCGGTGTTACAGAAGCACTACAAAAACGACATTCTTGCGAAAATGTTTTCTGAAGCAAAGGAGAAGCCAACTATGAAAATAATTGCTTCAAGATTGGAGGGAGAACTGTGGCAGAGCGAAGGACAAACAGCAGGCAAACTTTTCACAACTTTGAAACTGGATGAGACTGGAGAGGGTCTTTTTGAAGCCCCGATGTTTGCTAGTTGGGCTGCGTATGTCAAAAGACTGAGTCAGTACGAGAAGAACCCAAACGAGTTCGTAATTTTCTCTGAGCTAGAGAAACGCTACGATTATGTGGATCTCGCACGAATGCTTTATAATGCTGAACGGCAAGCTGATAACACGAGTGGGGCGGGGAAAGATACGGTAAAACTACTTAGTGCCTTACGGAAGCAGCAGTACAAGCAATGGATGACCGAGAAAGGATTGGATCCAGAAAGGCTCAGCCTTATAATAACTCGTCGTCAAGACTCGAGGAACAACGGCGTCCTTCTCGGCTTCTATGATTTTTACCGGGCTAATGGCGGGCCAAAGTTCGTCTAACGGGGTTTACGCTTTAGTAACTAGCAGCACATGTGTGAAGGCAGTGATACCTTTGAGGTTCCGATGTCTGGTACTTGAGGGTCCTACTTAATCAGGTAGAACAAATAATGGTACTTACAGATATGAGGTAACGTGTTTTTGGCTCGTATTCGTACATGATCTGGATTTTGGTCGGGCATTCATCTAGCGATAATTCCATCATTATCGGAAATTTTATCGGCAAATAAGCGAATGTAGCAGTCAAAAGAAAATTAGACTTCTCCTTTGAGGAGCAACAGCGATCGACTACAAAGAACGGCTTTTTGGTGAAGTTGCCAGCGCAATTCTACATTTGTTAGTATGGCCCACCTTCTTCCCGACAATAGCTCCTGTATGCGCCATGCAGACTATTAATATCTCCGATGACTCTATTCTGTATTCTAAGTCTTGAACGGATATTCGATTGCAGGTAAGCCGGCACAGTTACTGCATATGCTCCAATCATCTCTAAACTTAATATTCAACCTGTCTATTTATATATCATCCGATAAAGCCAACAGCTGCACTGAAAACACGAGCGAATAATTTTTAAAACGGACGTTAACAGGAACTTTCCTTTTTAAGTGTCGATTCAACTTACGCGCTTCACAGGAGTAGGGGGAATACAGGAGAAGAGGAAGAAGTCGTCTTGAGTAGCAGGTAGCAAAGAGTAAGTGAGATTTAGAGTTAAAGCGTAGATCGAGGGCACGCGGAACGCGTGGCAGGTATTGGGACCACCGTTAAACTTGGGTCTTTTTACAGGAATTAACCCACGTAGGTAATTACTCATATATGCATTTTGAGCGTTTTTATTTATACCATGAGGTATGAGGATGTGATCCTTGACATTAAGAAACTTACTTCCTCCGTCCGAAAATATAAGGCAGTTTGTCCAAAAATTTCATTTTTAAGCTCAAATCATCGTATGAAGGTTCATTAATTGGCTAATAGTAAGGCGCTCCGCGTAATGATGCGATTGGTGGTTTTCACGAATAAATTCGTTGGCTAGAAGTAAAGTTACGATCTTCGGAACAGTGCCACTTCATCCCACTCTACCTTTTTCCTTCGTCGTTCCTACCCATGGCTATTCCCACCGCTCTAAAGTGCCGCACCCGCAAGAACCTTACCCCAGCCGAGCGTGCTGAAGTTATCGCCTACCTCCTGAGTGTTAGTACCGAGCTATCCCCTCCTCAAGGCGCCATTAAAGCTTGTGCGACTAAATACGCTTGTGGAGACGCTCAGATCTCGCGATTGTGGCGTCGATCGGTTAAGGCCATTCAAGCAGGAGCTCCTATCGACTACGAGAGCGGTAGAAAGGGTCGAAGTGGCCGCAAGTCGCGGTTGACGTCGGAGTTCCGCGTCCAGCTCAACGAGGCCATCGAACTTATTCCCCTGGAAGACAGAACCGACATCCGTACTTTGGCGAGTAGTCTCGGTATTGCAAAGTCTACGTTACACGACTACTACCAGGCTAAGTTCGGTTCAGTTGAAATAAGTAATGGATACACGCACTTAATTCTTATATTTCCGGACAACAGAATTACAAGGACTGCCTTATATTTTCGGACGGAGGAAGTATTTGATTAGGTTTAAGTTGAGATGCCCCGCAAGCTTTGTGTTGTCCCGCAAGCTTTGTGTTGTCCCGCAAGCTTTGTGTTGTCCCGCAAGCTTTGTGTTGTCCCGCAAGCTTTGTGTTGTCCCGCAAGCTTTGAGCTGCCAGCACATCTAAAAAAAATCTCCAGTTTTGAAAGGCTTCGACTAAAAACAACACTCATGAGCGTGCCTCCAAAGTCATTTGGCCGGGAGGAGCATTCTGGACAAAGGTGATATTCCTTACAAAATAAGTAAAAACGTGAAATAGGTAGTAGACGTAATTACACGAGCAATTTATTGCGGCACAGTTTTTGTGTTTTCAGGAAGCGCCCAATAACTACACTACGATTGTTTCAAGACCAAATGATCACCCTGGCATTAACTGATTCCAACGACGGCTTCAGGTTTAAGTAAGCCTCAGTGCTTCAATGCTCCAGTGATCTTCACTATCCGTGAGTGCCAGGGTAATCATTTGGTCCTGAAACAATTGTAGAGCTACTATTGGGGTGATTAACAACATGATTCCAACAACGGCTTCACCATTTAGTGAACATCAGGGTAATCAAATGGTCTTGAAACCATCGTAGTGTTGATATTTAGGTATTTGCCTTAGAGTTAGCAAGGGTATACTGGAAATATATTCGGATATGGA